CTCGGGAGGCTGAGGCAGGAGGATCGCTTGAGCCCAGGAGTGTGAGGTTGCTGTGAGCTAGGCTGACGCCACGGCACTCACTCTAGCCTGGGCGAAAGAGCGAGACTCTGTCTCAAAAAAAAAAAAAAAAGAAGTTCCATGAGGCCTTTGATCAGAATGCCAGAGCTGGGGTCTTAGATAATTTTCTTCACTACTATATCCCTAGGCCTGGCACAGAGCCTAATAATAAAAATGTCACAGGCACTCAATAAATGAATAAATAATGCTGAGCTCATGGTCATATGGGAAATACTGTTAAATTTTGATTATATATCTTAGTTCATCAAAGCCCATCTCTGACAAAAATCATTTTAGTTTCTTGATATAGGCAACAGATTTTCCATAAATCTTTTTTTCTTTATCTTCTAGAGCAGTAGTTCCCAGTCTGGGAGCAAAACATGTGAACCAGTTTCTTATTTTGCCAGGTGGTAGGAGATTTTTTTTTAAAGACCTATGATCATTTCATTAAAGAGGGGAAATTTCTTTTTTTACATGCAAAAAGTAGGAAAGATAATCTTAAAGGACTATCCTTTATTAAGCATATGTGGCTTTATTTAAAACAAAACCCAGCTTACTCCATTGTCTTTGTTTTTCTTATATCAGCTGTCAGACAGGCTTTGGGGGCACAGCTCTACAGCTCAACAGGGCAAGGTCCACAAAGAAGGTCAGGTACCAGAGACAACTTGGAGGGTGGCACTTACCTCTGGATGGAATCCATCTCTTTTGCCAAGACTTCCTTCAAATTTAAGAATGATTTTGTGTCATTTATAAATAGCCATACAGCTTTTTTGTCAGTTTCATAACTTTATTTGATGGATTTGACAATCAGCAGTTCTAATCCACATTGTAGATTTTTGAAAGTGGTAACAAATATGTAGGTGATCAAAGTATATAATAGAAGTTATTTGGTCATTTTTCATCCTCATTATGTTTTTTGGACAACCACACACAGATACGGTATAGGTCATCCCTTATTCCTGTGGCCCAGACAACTTTGTTGAGCCTGGTGTGAATGTGCACATCTGGAATCCCCATCTCCTTCATGGCGAATTTCTTGATCTCTTTGAGTTCCCGAGGGGCCCACTTCTTGAAAGCCCACTCCTTGGATACACTTGTGAATGTTAATGGTGTATTCTTGGGTCACCACCTCATTGATGGCAGAACAACCCTTCTCACTACCTTCTTTGTTGGAGCCATTCTGCCCGGCCCAATTTGGAAAGGAAGGCCATGTAGCTTTTTTTCTTAAGAGAAAGTCCCACTCTATTGCCCAGAGTAGAGTGCAGTGGCATGATCATAGCTCATAGAACATTACACTCCTGGGCTCAAGCAATCCTCCTGCCTCAGCCTCCCGAGTAGCTGGAACTACAGGCACGTGCCACCACACCCGGCTAATTTTTTTCTATTTTTTTTGTAGCGACAAGGTCTTGCTCTTGCTCAGGCTGGTCCGGAACTCCTGACCTCAAGCAATC